ATACACCACCACTACATTACACCACAGGAACCCATACACCACCACTACATTACATCACAGGAACCCATACACCACCACTACAGACACCACAGGAACCCATACACCACCACTACATTACACCACAGGAACCCATACACCACCACATTACACCACAGGAACCCATACACCACCACTACATTACACCACAGGAACCCATACACCACCACTACAGACACCACAGGAACCCATACACCACCACTACAGACACCACAGGAACCCATACATCACCACTACACCACAGGAACCCATACACCACCACTACACTACACCACAGGAACCCATACACATTACACACAGGAACCCTACATTACACCACAGGAACCCATACATCACCACTACACCACAGGAACCCATACATCACCACTACACCACAGGAACCCATACACCACCACTACACCACAGGAACCCATACATCACCACTACACCACAGGAACCCATACATCACCACTACACCACAGGAACCCATACATCACCACTACACCACAGGAACCCATACATCACCACTACATGACACAACAGGAACCCATACATCAACACTACACCACAGGAACCCATACACCACCATTACACAACAGGAACCCATACACCACCACTACATTACACCACAGGAACCCATACACCACCACTACATTACACCACAGGAACCCATACACCACCACTACATTACACCACAGGAACCCATACACCACCACTACAGACACCACAGGAACCCATACACCACCACTACATTACACCACAGGAACCCATACACCACCACTACAGACACCACAGGAACCCATACACCACCACTACAGACACCACAGGAACCCATACACCACCACTACATTACACCACAGGAACCCATACACCACCACTACAGACACCACAGGAACCCATACACCACCACTACAGACACCACAGGAACCCATACACCACCACCACATTACACCACAGGAACCCATACACCACCACCATACACCACAGGAACCCATACACCACCACTACATTACACACCACAGGAACCCATACACCACCACTACATTACACCACAGGAACCCATACACCACCACTACAGACACCACAGGAACCCATACACCACCACTACAGACACCACAGGAACCCATACACCACCACTACAGACACCACAGGAACCCATACACCACCACTACATTACACCACAGGAACCCATACACCACCACTACAGACACCACAGGAACCCATACACCACCACTACAGACACCACAGGAACCCATACACCACCACTACATTACACCACAGGAACCCATACACCACCACTACAGACACCACAGGAACCCATACACCACCACTACATTACACCACAGGAACCCATACACCACCACTACAGACACCACAGGAACCCATACACCACCACTACATTACACCACAGGAACCCATACACCACCACTACATTACACCACAGGAACCCATACACCACCACTACATTACACCACAGGAACCCATACACCACCACTACAGACACCACAGGAACCCATACACCACCACTACAGACACCACAGGAACCCATACACCACCACATACACCACACCACATACACCACCACTACAGACACCACAGGAACCCATACACCACCACTACAGACACCACAGGAACCCATACACCACCACTACAGACACCACAGGAACCCATACACCACCATACTACACCACAGGAACCCATACACCACCACTACACCACAGGAACCCATACACCACCACTATTACACCACAGGAACCCATACACCACCACTACAGACACCACAGGAACCCATACACCACCACTACAGACACCACAGGAACCCATACACCACCACTACAGACACCACAGGAACCCATACACCACCACTACAGACACCACAGGAACCCATACACCACCACTACAGACACCACAGGAACCCATACACCACCACTACAGACACCACAGGAACCCATACACCACCACTACAGACACCACAGGAACCCATACACCACCACTACAGACACCACAGGAACCCATACACCACCACTACATTACACCACAGGAACCCATACACCACCACTACATTACACCACAGGAACCCATACACCACCATTACACCACAGGAACCCATACATCACCACTACATTACACCACAGGAACCCATACACCACCACTACAGACACCACAGGAACCCATACACCACCACTACAGACACCACAGGAAACCATACACCACCACTACAGACACCACAGGAACCCATACACCACCACTACAGACACCACAGGAACCCATACACCACCACTACAGACACCACAGGAACCCATACACCACCACTACAGACACCACAGGAACCCATACACCACCACTACATTACACCACAGGAACCCATACACCACCACTACATTACACCACAGGAACCCATACACCACCATTACACCACAGGAACCCATACATCACCACTACATTACACCACAGGAACCCATACATCACCACTACAGACACCACAGGAACCCATACACCACCACCACATTACACCACAGGAACCCATACATCACCACTCCAGACACCACAGGAACCCATACATCACCACTACATTACACCACAGGAACCCATACATCACCACTACAGACATCACAGGAACCCATACATCACCACTACAGACATCACAGGAACCCATACATCACCACTACAGACATCACAGGAACCCATACATCACCACTACAGACATCACAGGAACCCATACATCACCACTACAGACACCACAGGAACCCATACACCACCACTACAGACATCACAGGAACCCATACACCACCACTACAGACACCACAGGAACCCATACATCACCACTACAGACACCACAGGAACCCATACACCACCACTACAGACACCACAGGAACCCATACACCACCACTACAGACACCACAGGAACCCATACATCACCACTACAGACACCACAGGAACCCATACATCACCACTACAGACACCACAGGAACCCATACACCACCACTACAGACACCACAGGAACCCATACATCACCACTACAGACTGGGGTAGAGTCACAAAGTGTGGTCACCTTCCTCCCTCACTCATCCACCATAGCTCCTCATCATCTGGGTTTTCTCCTCCTGCCCTCATATATACACGCTATTGAGACTATTGAGGTGCGCTCTGGTTGTCGGTCTGGAGTGGCCTCTCTAGGGCACAAAGCCAGGGTAGGTTGATACGGAGAAGCTGTCACCCATGCAGCAGGTCTTCCCCCCTCTCGACGGCGCCGAAAGTCTCCAATGGAAAGGCAAACGTCCATACGATTGTTTCCCGGGCTGTCGCAGGAACTGTCAGGACGAGGTTGAAGGCAACAACGAACTGCCCCTAGGAGGCTCCCGCTCCGGAGTTGACCTCGAAGTTGGTAAAAGAAGGCACAGGTATTCCACACCTGGCACAGGGACTCCCACACCTGGCAAAGGGACTCCACACCCGGCACAGGGACTCCACACCTGGCACAGGGACTCCCACACCTGGCAGAGGGACTCCACACTCGGCACAGGGACTCCACACCCGGCACAGGGACTCCACACCCGGCACAGGGACTCCACACCCGGCACAGGGACTCCACACCTGGCACAGGGACTCCCACACCCGGTAGAGAGACTCCACACCCGGCACAGGGACACCCACACCCGGCACAGGGACTCCACACCTGGCACAGGGACTCCACACCCGGCACAGGAACTCCACACCTGGCACAGGGACTCCACACACGGCACAGGAACTCCACACCTGGCACAGGGACTCCACACCCGGCACAGGAACTCCACACCTGGCACAGGGACTCCACACCCGGCACAGGGACTCCACACCTGGCACAGGGACTCCACACCTGGCACAGGGACTCCACACCCGGCACAGGGACTCCACACCCGGCACAGGGACTCCACACCCGGCACTGGGACTCCCACACCCGGCACAGAGACTCCACACCCGGCACAGGGACTCCCACACGGCACAGGGACTCCACACCCGGCACAGGGACTCCCACACCCGGCACAGGGACTCCCACACCCGGCACAGGACTCCCACACCCGGCACAGGGACTCCCACACCCGGCACAGGGACTCCACACCCGGCACAGGGACTCCCACACCCGGCACAGGGACTCCACACCCGGCACAGAGACTCCCACACCCGGCACAGGGACTCCCACACCCGGCACAGGGACTCCACACCCGGGACTCCCACACCCGGCACAGGGACTCCCACACCCGGCACAGGGACTCCACACCCGGCACAGGGACTCCCACACCCGGCACAGGGACTCCCACACCCGGTAGGGACTCCCACACCCGGCACAGGGACTCCACACTCGGCACAGGGACTCCCACACCCGGCACAGGGACTCCCACACCCGGCACAGGGACTCCCACACCCGGCACAGGGACTCCACACCCGGCACAGGGACTCCCACAAGTGGGTAGTCCCACACCCGGCACAGGGACACCCACACCCGGCACAGGGACTCCACATACACACATAAGTGTTGTAGAACAAAACCTACAATATACACACATAAGTGTTGTAGCACAAAACCTACACACAGATGAGTGTTGTCCCCGCGGCACAAGAACCTACAACATACACACACCCAGGTACCTATTGTACTGCTAGGTAACGGGCATACCTACAAACACTCGCCGGTGCCTGGACTCGAACAACATACACACATAAGTGTTGTAGCACAAAACCTACACACATAAGTGTTGTAGCACAAAACCTACAACATACACACATAAGTGTTGTAGCACAAAACCTACAACATACACACATAAGTGTTGTAGCACAAAACCTACAACATACACACATAAGTGTTGTAGCACAAAACCTACAACATACACACATAAGTGTTGTAGAACAAAACCTACAATATACACACATAAGTGTTGTAGCACAAAACCTACAATATACACACAAGTGTTATAGCACAAAAGAACATAACAAAAGTGTACACTTACCTGATGACACATGTACATGGTCCAGCAGGAAGACCCTCCGTCACGTCTCTGTGCTTCGCCAAAGTCATGTTCTGCTTGTTTAAGCCACTTGTTGGCTTCAAGACGATCAGGCAACTTTCTCTCCTTCATCTTACTTCTGAAATACTTGAAGGAACCTGAGGATTGGCTCCGTGGTGAGTTGAATGCACTGCTGAAGAAATCACTAGAAGTTGTTTTGAATGTTTTACTGAAGAAATAACTGGATGTTGTTTTGAATGTTTTACTGAAGAAATCACTGGATGTTGGTTTGAATGTATTACTGTAGGCACTGGAGGGACCGCTGAAAGTATTTTCACTTGTAACATCTTCATCGTCTGGAATAATCTCTCCATTCTCCAGACGCTTCACCAGGTGTTGCATATATTGCATCACGCGGGTACAGAGTCCCACTCTCTCAAGGTTCTTGTCTGGATGCCACTTGAGGATCAAGCGCCGTAAGAGGTGCCGCCTTTCTTTTTCATCTTTAACTTTCCATATTTCTTTTAATTGTTTCTTTATATTCTTCATAATTTCTTTCTCAGAGAGACTGCCAGGTTCATCTTCGGTTAAGACCCCATCAGTTTGTACCACATCACTTCTCATACTTTCCTTAGCTCTTACAAACTTGTACAGCTGATGGGCTCGAACTATCATGCAGGACTTTGCTTCACATCCAGTGTCAACTTCGTATTCATTCATAAATAAGCTATCATGACTTCTCACCAAGCGCTTTACTTGAACAATTATGTATATATTATCTTCGGTAGATTCATCTCCTTCAAGAATGTACTTCTTCATACAGACAATCTCTCCCTCGTGGAACTGACAAAATTCATTATCCAGCAAATGGATTAGATCTTCATCGAGGTATGAACCTACATCTGTTTGATAGCACTCATATGCACTATTCTGACCTTCCCATGCAGTAATACCTAAGTTATTCAGTAATAAAGGAATTTCATGTGGTTTCTCATATAACCTCAATATGTGTCCTAAATTCTCCATCACTGATGCTGTAACTAACTTAAGTAGTTCTCTGTACGTTTTACACAGTCCACAGACAACAAGAGTACTGTCAATGGTTTCAGAAATATAAAGTGTAACTTTTCTCTCTTCTCTATTACAAACTTGTACAAAGAACTGCCTGTCTCGTTTCCCAACTTCGTCTTCATTAACCGTTAGAGTGGTGGTAATTACCTTCAACTGCTTCACCTCCACTCTGTCAAGACTATCCATCAATTCTTTTATTTCAGCTTTATCTAAACATGATCCTGAAGATACTCTATCATGATTTATAATTCTCAATATATTCAGTTTAATAGTATCTGAATGCAGGATTTGTCTTAACTCTTTAAGTAATTCTGTTGTTATTTCCTCGGTATTGCTGTCAAGGTTTTCCTTCACAACTTGAGACAAAAGATTTGGCTGCAAATTCTTAGGCAACATATTCACAAAGTCACTATCAGTCATTTCTATCTTTAAGACTTTAAACCCGGCAAATATTAGTATGTTTAATTTTCCTTTCCCGTTCTCTAAATATTCAACATCTTGCACATACATTTCAGAAGACTTTTCCAATTTTTTTTCCTTTGTTGGGAGATATAGTTCAGAAACTTTCAGGTCTTTGAGATTTGATTTCTTTTTCACCAAGCCTTCAAGAGCCGCCTTCATACACTTAGATTCTTCAGGATGCAATACTTTCCCGCCACTTTCTTCATAAATCATTTTCAATACTTGAGCATACGAGTCACACGTAGCGACCTCAAGGGCTCCAAGTTTCTTAAAAACATCAATATATTTCACATATGTTGTTGGAACTCTCAATAAATATGGGATAATTTCAACTTCCAATATTTCAATCACACAATCAGCAGCAACAAAGGTTGAGTGCGTCGGTATATGCACTACAGGAGTTCTCTGGCAAGCAAGTGTATCATGAACACTGTTTCTGCACTTTTGTAAATGCTGGTAAATACTTTCCATTATACTCTCAATGGCGGCATTTGAGTTCTTTTGTTTAGATTTTAAAAATCTACAAAGATTTTGTATGTGCTCAAGAACCTTTTCTTCAGGTGGAGCGTCCACGATGTTCAGATGTTTCTTAATATCACTCCTGCATGACGTTGCATAACGTGGCAAAAGGCTTGCAGTTGTCCACAGAATATTAGCAAATTCTGATGGCACACCGCTAGAGAAAGACAACAATCCAGATGCAGTTCTGAAGTGCGGGAGAATCTCCTCTAATTCTTCACTCTCATGTGGAACAAGAAATTCAATATTCCTTATCTGTGAAACATTGCACTTTAGATTATCATACTTGTCAAAAAGGTATTGTGTGAGAACTTCAGACTTTGGTCTAACTTTAGAATCATTAGGTGATAATGTTCTCGCATACTTCACGTACATTTCAGCAGTCAGTTCATGTACCATGCCAGACAATTTGAGAAAGTGCTGCCATTCTTGTGATGACCATTCTTTTGGTAAATTATTCAGCTCCATCACTTTGAATACTGGATTATTGGGATCATAGAAATTGTCTGCAGTTTTCCAACTTCCATTTAGCTCTATAAAAGGAGTCTTTTTTAATATTGAAACAACATTTATTAGACTTTGGTTCCAATACACTTCTGCCATATGTGCTTCTTTTAGTTCATCTCGTATCTTTTCCAGATAGTAGGTTCGTTCTTGAGGTGACAAATACTTAAAATTTGGCAGAATTAGTTTAGTATAAATTTCCAGATCCTCCAGAAGACATCCTGAACTCAAGTATTGGTAGAAACATTTTGCATTTGATGTTCCTTTCTTTAAAATTATTATATTTTTACTTTCTGCTAATTTAACCAAATATTTTAAATCAAGCTTTGACCCAACTGGTACAATAAAGTCCTTGTCTTCCAAATTCTGCACAACTCCACAAACGTCTTCAAACATAGGGAGTGAACGGAGTTTATAATGAGGGAGTGAAGTACTAGAATAATGTGCACCAAAATATTCCAATACCTCAGTCATTTTTTTATAAGATTCCATCCCGCTTGGTTTAACATAGAGGGCAATTCTCTCTCTGTGGAAGTAGAGGTTGTCTAGCAAAACTGAAGGATCTGTTAATGTTGCTGTTAAGTGAATGGGTAACCCAGCTGGAATAATACTGAGACATGGATGAGGAACAGGCAAGTGATGGAATACTGAAGATGGATTGTTGTCAAGAACTCTCCAGGCGTTCTTTAATGTAACTAAATATTTCTGGTTGTTGTCAGTTAAAGGATACAATGCCCAGTCTCCAAGAGTATTCATAATATATTCTCTCTTCTGCTGATAATAACGTGCCTTATGTGCTTCTGCCCCAAAAATTATAGCAATGTCCTTTTTACAAAAATTCAAATACTCTATTATAAATTTCCAAAGCATTTTTAACCAATCATGGAGGTCGTCGCGTAATGGTAAAAAGGCTTCACTGCGATGATATGTCTTGTCCAATCTTGTATGCAGTCTGTCAGCCAGATCCTTTAATGTGAACTCTTTCAGGGCATTAACCCCGGGTTTTAATTTTAAAAAATTAATTTTAAATTTAAAATTTTTTAAAAAAAAAAAAAAAGAAAAAAAATTTTTGGGGGGAAAAAAGGGGGGGGGGGTTTGGAAAAGGGAAATTTAAAGGGGGGGTTTTTTTGGGGAAAAAAAAAGGCCGGGAAAAAGGGGGGGAAAAAAAGGGGGGGAAAAAAGGAAAAGAAGGGGGGGGGAAAAAAAAAAAAATTTTTAAAAAGGGGGGTTTTTTTTTTGGGGGGGAGGGGGCAATTTTTCCAAACCCCCCCCGGGGGGGTTGGGGGGTTTTTTAAAAAAAAAAAAAGGGGAAAAAATTTTTAAAAATTTTTTTTTTTTGGAAAGGGGGGGTTAAAAAACCCCTTTTTTTTGGTTTTAAAAAGGGGTTTTTTTTTTTAAAATTTTTTAAAAAAAAATTTTAATTTTTAAAAATTAAAAAAAATTTTTTTAAAACCCATTTTGGGGGGAAAAAAGAAGGGGGGGAAAAAACCCAAACCCGGGTTTGGAAAAAAAATTTAAAACCCCAAAACCAAAACCCAAACCCAATTAAAAACCCATTTTCCCCCCCCCCCCCAAAAGGGAAACCCCCAAAACCCCGGGGAAAAAAACCCCCCCCCCAAAAAAACCCTTTACCCCCCCAAAAAAAAAAACCCCCCCCCCAAAAAAAAAAAAAAACCCCCCCCCAAAATTTTCCCCGGGGCCCAAAAAAAACCCCCCCCCAAAAAACCCCCCCCAAAAAAACCCCCCCCCAAAAAATTTTAAAAAAAGGAAAAAAAAAATTTTTAACCCCCTTTTTTCCCCTTTTTTCCCAAAATTTTAAAAAATTAAAAGGGTTTAAAAAAAACACCAAAACCCAAAAAAAATTTCCCCAAAAAAACCCCAACCCACCAAAACCCCACCCAAAAAAAACCCCCAAAACCCCCCCCAAAACCCCCCCCCCCCAAAACCCCCCCCCAAAAAACCCCAAAACCCCCAAACCACCAAAAAAAACCCCCCACCCCCCCCCAAACCCCGGCCCAAACCCCCTAAAAAAGGAACCCCCCCCCCAAAAAAAACCCCCCCAAAAAAAACCCCCCAAAAAAAAACCCCAAAAACCCCCCCCCCCCCCCAACCCCAAAACCCCCCCCAATACAAACCCCACCCAAACCCAAACCCCCCCCTTTCCCCCGGAACCCAAACCACCCCCCAAAACCCAAAAAACCCCCCCCCCAAAAACCAAAACCCCCAACTTCCCAAAAAAAACCCAAAACCCCCCAAAAAAACCCAAACCCCTTCACCAAAAACCCAAACCAAACCCCCCCCAAAACCCCAAACCCCCCAAAAAAAAACCAAAAACCCAAACCCATTCCCCCCCCCCCCAAAAAACAAACCCCAAAAAACCCCCCCCCCCAAAAAAAAACCCCCAAACAAAACAAAACCCCCCAAAAACCCCAAAAAAACCCCCCAAAACCCCCCCCCCCAAACCCCCCAACCACAGGAAAACCCCCCCAACCCCAAACAAAAAACCCAAACCCCAATTCACCACCGGCCCCAAAAAAAAACCCCCCCCCAAAAAAAAAAAAAAAAAACCCCAAAAACCCAAACCACCACCCTTACAACCCAAAAAACCCCCCCCCCAAAAAAACCCCCCCCCCCCAAAAAAAAAAAAACCCCCCCCACCCCCCCCCAAAACCCTTCCCAAAAAACCCCCAACCAAACCCCCCCAAAACCCTAAAAACCCCCCAAAACCCCAAACCCAACCCCCCAAAAACCCAAAAAAATTCCCAAAAACCCAAAGGCCCAAACCCACCCCCCAAAAACCAAAAAAAACCCCCCCCCTTTACCCCCAAAGGGCCCCCCCCCCCCAAAAAAAAACCCCCAAAAAAAACCCAAAAAACCCCCCAAAACCCCAAAAACCCAACAAAAACCCCCACCACCAAAAACCCCAAAAAAACCACCCAAAACCCAAAAACCCAAAAAAAAAAACCCCCCCAAACCCAAAACCCCCCAAAAAAAACCCAAACCCAAAAAAAAAAAACCCCCCATTAACCCCGGAACCCAAAAAAAACCCGGAACCCCCCCCCCAAAAACCCCCCCAAAAAAAAACCCCCCCCAAAACCCCCCCCAAAACCCAAAAAAAAAAAACCCAAAACCCCCCCCCCAAAAAAAAAATTTAAAAAAAACCCACCCCAAAAACCCCAAAAACCCCCAAAAAAACCCCCTAAAACCCCACCCCTTTAAAAACAGGAACCCAAAAAACCCAAACCCAAAAACCCCCCCCCCCCCCCAAAAAAAAAACCCAAAACCCCCAAAACAAACCCCCCAAAACCCCCACCCCCCCCCCCCTTTCCCCGGAAAACCCCAAAACCCCCCAAACCCAAAAAAAAACCCAAGGAACCCAAAACCCCCCCCCAAAACCCCCCCCCCCCCCCTTAACCCACCAAAAACCCCCCCCCCAACAAACCCAAGGAACCCTACCACCCCAAAAAAACCCAAAACCCCAAAAAAACCCCCCCCCCCCCAAAAAAAACCAAAACCCCCAAAAACCAAAAAACCCCCCCCCCCCCCAAAAAAAAAAACCCCCCAAAAAAAAACCCCCCCAAAAACCCCCAAAAAAAACCCAAAAAACCCCCCAAAAAAACCCATTCCCCCAACCCAAACCAAACCCCAAAAAAAAAAAAAACCCCAAAAAAAAAAAAACCCCCCCAAAAAAAGGAAAACCCCCCACCACCCCCAAAAAAAAAAACCCCCCCCCTTTCCCCAAAACCAAAAACCCCCATCCCCCAAACCCCCCCCAACCCAAAAAACCCCAAAAAACCACCCCCCCCAAAAACAAACCCCTTAAACCCCCCCGGAACCCAAACCCCAAAAAACCCCCCAAAAAACCCCAAAAACCCAAAAACCCCCAAACCAAAACCCCCAAAACCCCCAAAAACCCCCAAAAAACCCCCCAAACCCCAAAACCCCCAAAAAAAAACCCAAACCCCCAAAACCCAAAACCCAAAAAAAACCCAAAACCCCAAACCCCCAAAACCCCCCAAAAAACCCAAACCCCCCAAAAACCAAAAAAAACCCAACCCCCCCAACCCCCAAAAACCCCCAAACCCCCAACCAACCCACCCCAAAAAAAACACCACCCCCCCCAGGCCCCCCCCCAAACCCCAAAAAAAAAACCCCCAACCCCAAAAAAAAACCCCCCCCCCCCAAAAAACCCCACCCCAAAAAACCCCCCCCCAAAACCCCCCCCCCCCCACCCCAAAAAAACCCCCCAACCCCCCAAAAACCCCGGAAAAACCCCCCCCCCCCAAACCCTTACCCCCCAAAAAACCCCAAAAAACCCCTTTACACCCAAAAAACCCCCCCACCCCTACCCCCCAAAAAAAAAAAAAAAAAAACCCCAAAAAAACCCCAAAACCCCCCCCCCCAAACCCAAAAACCCAACAAAAAAAAACCCCCACCCCAAAAAAAACCCCCCCCCAAACCCCCCAAAAAACCCAAAAACCCCAAAACCCCAAAACCATCTTATTGTGTGGTACCTAAGCTCTTCTGAAAATTATATATAAACATTTTCTGGGCTGGAGCCAGGCAGCTCCCGGGAGCATTGATTCTGGCACTTGAGACATCCACATAACTACCTGGCCTCTGCGCTGGTGTAGGCCTATCAAACACCAGTACCATACATTAATGTGCTAATAGAGGAAGGAAAGCATGGGGGGGGGGGAATCAAGCGCAACATGAGCATGACCAGAACCGCTGAGACAGCGAAGGCAAAGCATTAGAAGCCACACCTTCCAGGATTCGGCCCACTGGCAACATGTGACCCGCTGGGACACTCTGTTCGGCCCGCTGGGACTCTCAGTCCAGCCTGATAGGACTCTGTGTCCGGCCCGCTGGGAATCTGTGTCCAGCCCGCTAAGACTCTGTGTCTGGCCTGCTGGGACTCTCTGTCCGGCCCGCTGGGACTCGCTGTCCAGCCTGATAGGACTCTGTGTCCGGCCTGCTGGGAATCTGTGTCCGGCCCGCTAAGACTCTGTGTCTGGCCTGCTGGGACTCTCTGTCCGGCCCGCTGGGACTCGCTGTCCGGCCCGCTGGGACTCTCTGTCTGGCCTGCTGGGACTCTCTGTCCGGCCCGCTGGGACTCTCTGTCCGGCCCGCTGGGACTCTCTGTCTGGCCTGCTGGGACTCATTGTCCGGCCCGCTGGGACTCTCTGTCCGGCCCACTGTGACTCTCTGTCCGGCCCGCTGGGACTCTCTGTCCGGCCCACTGTGACTCTCTGTCCGGCCCACTGTGACTGTGTCCGGCCCGCTGGGACACTCTGTCTGGCCCGCTGGGACTCTCTGTCAGGCCCGCTGGGACTGTCTGTCCGGCCCGCTGGGACACTCTGTCCGGCCCGCTGTGACTCTCTATCCGGCCCGCTGGGACTGTCTGTCCGGCTCGCTGTGACTCTCTATCCGGCCCGCTGGGACTCTCTGTCCAGACCGCTGGGACTCTCTGTCCGGCCCGCTGGGACTCTCTGTCCGGCCCGCTGGGACTCTCTGTCCGGCCCGCTGGGACTCTCTGTCCGGCCCGCTGGGACTCTCTGTCCGGCCCGCTGAGACTCTCTGTCCGGCCCGCTGGGACTGTCTGTCCAGACCGCTGTGACTCTCTGTCCGGCCCGCTGGGACTCTCTTTCCGGCCCGCTGGGACTCTTTGTCCGGCCCGCTGGGACTCTCTGTCCGGCCCACTGGGACTCTCTTTCCGGCCTGCTGGAACTCTCTGTCCGGCCCGCTGGGACTCTCCATCCGGCCCGCTGGGACTCTGTCTGGCCCGCTGGAACTCTCTGTCTGGCCTGCTGGGACTCGCTGTCCGGTCCTAGCCTCACATGAACCTAAAATTCACGTCGAATTCCTGGTTCCAGGCAAATTAAGACAATCGTACTTACTTCAACAATTAATTATAAAAAAAATTCACCGAGTGACTAAAAAAAAAAGTTGCGTCTGTGACTTAATGACTGAGTCATCATTCAAGTCA